TTGGCATGAGCTCTACACGCCGCATTGATTTTGAGCGGCAGACCAGACGAGCAGGACTGATCAAGATCTATCCTTTCTTTATTTGATTAAAGCGATGCCTCAGACACGCACTGACACACTCACACAGAGACAAACACACACACACACACACACACACACACAGACACACGTTAGAAGTTTTTTCTTCTCTTCTTGTGGTTGCTCCACTGCAGGATCCTTCTGAGATTCCTAAATGATTACAAATCTCTTATCCTATCATTTACTTAAAGGATTATTCCAGTGTTTTTTCCAACCTTCCAGGATTTTATCCACCATATGTGTAGGGTAGGTGTGATTACTACAGACAACCACCGGACCACCGCTGAGCAGATATAATTTGGGTGGTGGATCATTCTCAGCACAGCAGTGATGCTGACATTGTAGTAGCAGCATTACTGGATTTATGAAACACCTCAGTATCACTGACAGTGAAACACCACCCTGATAATATCTGCTCAGCGGTGGTCTTATGATGCTCCCTGTTCACTGATGTACAAAGTACAGAGCTGACAACCTGTCCTTATGAACTTATGGGCTTCAGTCAGTATACTGAAGTTCTAGTAGATTTCCTCTCTTTTCTCAGCTTTCTCCCACAGACAGCTCTCTGATCTTCATGTTGTTTTTTCCTTTATCCTAACGAACAATAAATGCAGTCTTCCCAGGCAAAACCTTGGGCTCGTAGACATTCACAGCTTTTAATTCTTCAAACAAACGTTTGAACAGGACACACCCACACCTGGGCGGCAAGAAACACCTACTGTTTTGGTCACATGTTCCAATATTTAAAAATATATGTTCCAGTATTTTAATACTTGGAAAACTGTGTGGGTTCAAAACGAAAGGTGCCACGTTCTAGGTTGTTTAACGTTAACGTAAAGATGAGGAAATGAAAGCTGAAATTCTGCTCTATCTTTTCAGCTCAAACCCAAACGTCTTCAACGTGTAGCGAAAACGATAGAATTGGCCATTCCTGTATAGTATTAGTACCTACAGTAATATAATGAGTGTGTGATTCAAAGGAAATTTTATTACGTAAGTATTTTTGAGCAAGCTGTCACTACAGAAACGACAGCACGTTAGAATGAGCACGTTGAGCTGAGAATTCACCCAAATGAATACATTTACATTTATTCACTTGGCAGACGCTTTTATCCAAAGCGACTTACAAATAAGCAAAGCGATATATCAAGCAGAGAACAATACAAGTAGTGCTACTATACAAGATCCATTCATTGAATACCAGAGGAAGTAAAGTGCACAGAGTAGAGGTACGGTCCCCCCACCCCCTCTATTTGAGTTGGTTAGATGTTCACGGAAGAGGTGGGTCTTTAGCTGTTTTTTGAAGATAGTGAGAGATTCTGCGGTCCGGATTGAGATTGGAAGTGCATTCCACCACTAGGGAACGGTAAGCGCGAAGGTTCTGGAAAGGGACCTTACGCCACGCTGAGTGGGAACTACTAAACGTGGGTCGCTAGTCGATCGCAGATTGCGAGAGGGAACGTAGGCCTTCAGGAGAGAGTTGAGGTAGGAGGGTGCTGTTCCTGACAAGGTCTTGTAGGTGAGCATCAAGGCCTTGAACTTGATGCGGGCCGCTATAGGAAACCAGTGGAGGGAGATGAAGAGGGGTGTGACACGAGGCCGTCCTGGTTGGCATGAGTGTAAGTGAGCTAAGCTGTACAGTGAGGTTCTGGTTGATTGAGAGATAGGCTGGGATGACGAGAAGCTCAGATTTTCCCAGGTTAAGCTTAAGATGGTGCTCCTTCATCCAGACCGAGATGTCCGACAGGCAAGAAGTGATGCGTGCAGAGACGGATGGATCGTCAGGCTGGAAGGACTAATTGAGCTTGGTGTCATCAGCATGCAAATGAATAGCTTTTCATTAATGAAGTCAATATCAGAGGGTTAGGCATGAAACAACTACAAGAAGTAACACTGTCAGGAGCATCCACGTGTTACTGTTCGAAACATATGGCATCACAACAGCTTAAAAATGAAAGCAAATGGTGTGAACAGAATGTTTGGCTAGAATTCAAGGATTTCTCAGATGGTACTGATGGAACCGAATAGAAATGCATTATACGGAAGGAACAGACAATGTGTCTTAAAACAAACGCAAATACAGATACAAATATTAAACTTTTTCTTGTTTTGTTTTGTTTAGGTTTTTTTTTCATGGCATCTGGTTGCAACTAAAGCTGTGCATGATGCAACGAAAAAAGAAAATTCACGTTGTATTTGTATTTACACCCTACAGGAGCCCAGGCTAAGTGATTTGAACCCCATACGTGGCCCGATAGCTGGAGGAACCCGACTCACCATCAGAGGTGCATCACTGGAGGCTGGATCTACTGTTAAAGTCAAGGTTAACTCCACTCAGGACTGTGAAATCGACAGGTAAGCATGCGTTTATTAGTGCTAGTGAGAAAGAAGCGAGAAGTTTCATATATTATTTGCGGAGGGGGGCACGGTGGCTCAGTGGTTAGCGTGTTTGCCTCGCACCTCCGGAGTCGGGGGTTCGAATCCCTTCTCCTCCACCTTGTGTGTGCGGAGTTTGTATGTTCTCCCCATGTCTTGGGGATTTCCTCAGTGTACTCTGGTTTCCTCCCCCAATCCAAGACCTGTAGGTGTTGTAGGCTAACTGCCTGGTTTGTGATTGTGCCCTGCGATGGGCTGGCCCCTTTTTTTGGGCTGTCCCCTATCTGGGATAGGCTCCAGGTTCCCAGTGACCCTGTATAGCACAAGCAGTCCAGAAAATGGATATGATGTGAGATTTAAACAGCATGCAGTTGTTTGCAACATTGCATTTAAACACAAACACTGAGCGAAAATAAACATATCATATATATCTCATGCATCTCTCTCTTATATATCTTTATATGTAATGAGAGAAGATCACAGTTTTGTTTTTGTTGTTGTGCGCAAATATAAATGTTATGATGTTATGATGAGAGATTATAGGACTTATAAGACTAGAGCTGCATTAAGTAAGGACTTCACTAGCTAACGAAGCTTTAAAGATTTAAAGGTAGAACAATACAAAATACAGTATACTGTATATTCTGGGAAGATGTTGTACTCAGGGCATGGTTGTGTCTTTACATCAGTGATAAAGTCAGCGATCAAGTCTTGGATTTGGGTTTACGAGAGTTACCCAAGATTTTGACATGGACTTGGAATTATTATTATTAATATTATTATTATTATTAAATGTTCTGCTTTATTAACAGAGTAAATAAACATTTAGTTCATCATCAAATCATCACTCAAACTGTGCTATAGCATCCTATTAAAATTCTTTAACATAGAATCCACATAGGTCCTCTTGGTAAATATGGCGGCATTCAGGGATCGATAGGTGAGTGTGAGACAGATGTGCGTTTCGCTTTGGCGCTCATGAATACGGACTGCAATACCTCCGTACTTGTTCCAGCTCTATTACTTAACGATATCCGCACTGTCACTACGACTTCGTCAACCGTTCTGACTGCATTCCCCTTTTGTTTTACAGGCTGTCCGATGACATCATCGAGTGCGTGATGCCGCCCGCCGTGCCCGACCTCCCCGAGAATGTGACGGTGTGTGTGGAGTACGACGAGAGGCCGTGCGAGAGACTTAGCAGCGTGTTCTACTATGAAAAGAACCCTGTCATCAGCATTGTAAAACCTAACAAGAGCTACCTTAGGTGAGACACACAAAATGGCACGTTAAAACAGTCTGCTAATCAGCTACCTCCAGTGACTCCAGTGTGCGTGCGCATGTTTTCCAGTGGTGGGCGTAAAATCTCTGTGATTGGTCAAAGCTTTGATCTGGTTCAGACAGCTAAAATGCAGATGGTGGGAATCGGCCAATCAGTAAGTACCTTTCTGTTTGTGTTGATCGTTGTACAGTATGATATCAGAACTCTGTTAAATTCTCAGCTCTGATTGGTCAGAAGGCGTTCATTGAATTTCTTTAACAACACAGCGTTGACTAGTGCTTTTCTAATACATTATCTTTTCCAACAGCTAATTCACAGGGAATTGTATATGGATGCTCTAAAATATGTTGCTTTTCCAACATATTCTGCATATTTGACCCTTTTCCAATGTTTTCACACTGAATACAACTGAGGGATTCATACACAACTATTACAAAAGGGGAGCCAGGGGGGTGTAAACTTTTGAACAGGATGCTCGGTGTATTGTTAACAGAATTAATAATTGTTATAATTGAGGGAGGTAACTTACTGTTAATGTTCATACTGTATATGAATTATTCCAGTGATCCCATGTGACCCGAGCATGCTTTGTGATTGGCAGGATTGCAAGATTGCATCGCCCAATCTCATATTATGCCACTCACCGGCAGCCAGCCAGTCACAGCAGGCCATGGCTCAGTTCGAACTGAATGGGATTTTATACAGACGGAATGGCTACGCCTCGTCTGAGCTGGACTTGGATGAGGAGGAGGAGCCTAATGCAGGTCACTTCCAGTTCGAGTATGTGGAAGACCCTCAGTTTTACACAGCCAACAAAGAGAAACTCATCAAGCATCATCCCGGGGAACCTCTTACACTCATCATCAATGTGAGTGCATGTGGGGGGTGTATATACAAGATGCATATACCCTTTTTTTATGGTACACTTTATTAGGAACACCTGTACACCTGCTCATTCCTGCTCAAGGACGCTGAGGCTACAATGGGTACTTGCCCACTGAAACCGTCAGCTTGAAACACTCTGACCAGTCACGTTTGTACCTCATTCGGATGGCTATCCTAAAGTTCTTAACCTGTACCTGCCTGATTTTCCGCACTGAGCTGCTGCTACATGATTGGGTGATTAGATAATTGCATGAATGAGAGGTGTGCAGGTGTTCCTAATATATATATATATATATATGTCGGTTAAGGTAACCATTAACAATTGTTTACTTATACACAGACACACACATTTTGTGGGTCATGCTGCAGAAATTAGCTAATTTCTAGCTAACAAGAAATTAGCTAATTACTAAGAACAATGTATATGTGTACAGTGAGGGAAAAAAGTATTTGATCCCCTGCTGATTCTGTACGTTTGCCCACTGACAAAGAAATGATCAGTCTATAATTTTAATGGTAGATTTATTTGAACAGTGAGAGACAGAATAACAACAAAAAAATCCAGAAAAACGCATGTCAAAAATTTTATAAATTGATTTGCATGTTAATGAGGGAAATATGTATTTGACCCCTCTGCACAACATGACTTACTTACATACTTTTAATTTTCATTGCCCTGGCTGAAGGAAGGAGGTTCTCACCCAAGATTTGACGGTACATGGCCCCGTCCATCGTCCCTTTGATGCGGTGAAGTTGTCCTGTCCCCTTAGCAGAAAAACACCGCCAAAGCATAATGTTTCCACCTCCATGTTTGACGGTGGGGATGCTGTTCTTGGGGTGAGTTGAGTTGATGCCAAAGAGCCCCATTTTGGTCTCATCTGACCACCAGAGGACAACTGGGTGAAAGTGTTGTGGTCAGATGAGACCAAAATGGAGCTCTTTGGCATCAACTCAACTCGTCGTGTTTGCTGCCTATGACCCCAAGAACACCATCCCCACCGTCAATCATCACCAAGTACTAAGTCATGTTTTGCAGAGGGGTTAAATACATATTTCACTCATTAAAATGCAAATCAATTTATAACATTTTTGACATGCGTTTTTCTGGATTTTTTTGTCGTTATTCTGTCTCTCACTGTTCAAATAAATCTACCATTAAAATTATAGACTGATCATTTCTTTGTTAGTGGCCAAACGTACAAAATCAGCAGGGGATCAAATACGTTTTTCCCCCACTGTAAGTGTGCACATTATCCAAATCCATAATGGTGTGACATTTTTTTTGGTTTATGCCCTATTACAACACTCATGGCACAAGTGCTAAATGAGGCCGTAAGTGATGACACAGGGGTGTGGATGTGGCAGACATGTTCTTGGTAAAATGTCAGATTTCAAATGTCACACCCTCTGCTGCGGCACTCGAAAATAGCAACAGGGTAAGAATGAGGGGGAGAAATTGGTTTATGCTGGTGGTAAACCACTACGTTCCACGAAAACACAGCCCTATAAATTAACACACACACACACACACACACACACACATCAAAGTTGGATTGTTGGATTATGGCAGACACCAGTAACCCAGCTCTATATGACCTCCACTGTTCAGCTGACACAAGCATCATGTGTGTACGTGTGTGTGTGTGTGCGTGCAGTTCACATGTGTTCCTCGTGGCTGTAATCACATCATAAAAGTGTGTTGTGCAATCGTAGATGCTTACACACACGTGTTTGCACACACGCATCAGGAAGTCGCACAGACGTGCGAAACCTGTGGGCTCGGATACATCGGGAGTCTTGTGGAGGCCTGACAGGAAGTGCCATGCCAGATCTAGGGGTGTTTATTTCCTGCAGAAGAATAGGGGGATGAGGACATGAGGAAGGGAGGGGGGGAGGGAGGGAGGGAAGGAGGATGGCACGTCTGAGGTGTAAGCCAGAAAGCTTTTGGCTGATTGGGAATGTGTGTGTGTGTGTGTGTGTGTCCGTGTGTGTGTTTCTGCATATATGTGGACAGAATGCTTGCATACAGTGAAACTAATTGATATATTCATTTGGTCAGGCTTTACCAAGCACAATACCTGTGGATAGAAATGGAAAGTTTTGATTTGGACTATGATTGCGTGTGTGTCTGTGTGAGCGTGTGTGAGTCCGTGTTTGTGTTGGTGGGGGCGGGGGAGGAGGGGGGGGGGAGTGTACTTGTTTACTTGGTTCCAGTTTTGATTCTGCTGGAATGCCATTTAATGTGTTCCTGTTTTGATGCGCACATAGCTGATGGTAATGCGTGTGTGAATGTAAATACGCGCGTGTGTGTGTGTGTGTGTGTGTGTGTGTGTGTGTGTGTGCACATCTTGCCCATATGTGTCTAATGCTAGGTCATTAGGGTTAGAAATAAAGGAATGTATTGTAATTATAAGTATTTTTTCGACAGAACTGGTGTGACAGAGTGTGTGTGTGTGAGGAACTGTTTGTTGATGGGTGGTCAGAGGAAAGGGACGCAGTCCCTAGAGTTTAATCAGAGATTCCGGAAATCTCTTCCTTTGTAAACACCGTCCCCTCCTTATGCTCTGTCTCTCTCTCTCACACACACACACACACACACACACACACACACACACACACACACACACACACACACACACTCAGTTTGAGGAGATGATAGGACACCTGCTGTACACACCCACAAACATGTCCTATGAATTTGTCCAAACATTTTTATCATCGCTTGGCTATGTAAGCAGTGACAGTAGTCCATGTGCGGAAATAAACAAAGAGCATGCTTTCTATACAAATATGCACGATTTCAAATTCTTTGTGAAGCGTTTCTCTCAAATTACGAGCAATTCACATTCAAACTCATCACACGGAACTGTTCCTGGGACTTCCTGCTTACTGCAAAGTGCACGAGTTACTAATGGCCGCCGTGAAGTCGCGGAGATGGCCGACCGTAGAGCC